CACATATATATATATGTATATGTATGTATATATATATATTATATGCCAGGATCCTTGAGGAAAAAACGACAACGACTTTTGTGTATACATATTACACCTTGTGTACATATACATATACAATCATATACAAATGTAGCAACTGGAGTGGGGTTGTAGTCCATTGACAAGTGGTTCTGCAATCATTTCATGATTCATCGCAGAAACCGTGCAGGTCGATAGGATCTTCATCTACCTTAATTTGGCTGCAGGAGAGGTGACTTGGACTCAGCATAGCCGTTTGGGGACCAGTTGGGGACCAGATGGCGGAATGAAACCACTTGAAAAAGTGGGATTGAATTGATTGAACCATATTGAACCAGCAAAAATGAGGGTTACAACCAGATTTGGGATCCCATTGGATGAAGTTGGTCCATCGATTTGGAGATACTGTTGATAGGTCCAATCGGCGCCTGGAGACTCCTTTGAACCGACCAAAATTGTCGAAATCTTTGGGTTCTGGAACCTTAGCCTCAGACTCAATTCAAACTTCACTTTCTCATCATGGAAGCTGGGAAGAATCGTTCACATTTCAAATGCTTGTCGAATGAAAGCTGGTTGGCAATTCCGAGGTGGAAGTTGGACAGGCTCCATGGGATACACTCGGGGGTCACGATTTTTGATTAGGGTTTGAGATGGCTAGCATCGACACTTGAAACGGACGTGCAGACACACTGGTCTTGGAACTTGCATGCGTTCAACTCTTGACAAGGTGGAACTCCCGAAAATTGGCAAAATTCTATACTTGGCTCTCAAACTCCAAGATTTTTTGCATTTTGGCCCTTATGTATTGCTTCGTTTTGACCTTTGCCAAGAATTGGTTCCCACAGACCCTCTACACAGCAACAACAATCAAAACACATGATTCCTGATTGCAGGCCTTGCGAGCAAGTCGAACTGAAGCAGCGACTGCGGCGGCCCCACCGCCTACGGCTGAGGCGGCAGCGCCTTCACCAGAAGCAGCAACCCCACCAGCCGCACCGGTTGAAGCAGCAGCGCCTTCACCAGAAGCAGCGGCCCCACCAGACGCACCGGTTGAAGCAGCAGCGCCTTCACCAGAAGCAGCAGCCCCACCAGCCGCACCGGTTGAAGCAGCAGCGCCTTCACCAGAAGCAGCAGCCCCACCAGCCGCACCGGTTGAAGCAGCAGCGCCTGCACCAGAAGCAGTGGCCCCACCAGCCGCACCGGTTGAAGCAGCAGCGCCTTCACCAGAAGCAGCGGCCCCACCAGCCGCACCAGTTGAAGCAGCAGCGCCTTCACCAGAAGCAGCGGCCCCACCAGCCGCACCGGTTGAAGCAGCAGCGCCTTCACCAGAAGCAGCAGCCCCACCAGCCGCACCGGTTGAAGCAGCAGCGGCCCCACCAGCCGCACCGGTTGAAGCAGCAGCGCCTTCACCAGAAGCAGCAGCCCCACCAGCCGCACCGGTTGAAGCAGCAGTGCCTTCACCAGAAGCAGCGGCCCCACCAGCCGCACCGGTTGAAGCAGCAGCGCCTGCATCATCACCGAAGAGTCAAGTGGAGGCAGGAAGTTGACATGATGTTTCTGTTGCAGAGATGATTTGATGTGGAATAGCTGAATAGCTCCAATGCCGCCGTGCTGAGGGACAGTTGAGTCCCCAGCCATGGTTTCCAGGATCCTGCGGCAGCCTTTGCTGAATCCATCCGACGTTTGCAAGCACAGGTGCGGTGGCTAGGGGGTCGTCAGATAAAACATGTCCCAAACAGACCTCACACCAATCTATCAACAACGAAAGACCAATGAAAAATATGTTGACACCAAGACGCGATTAGTCCTCAGACTATCTCAGACCTCTTTAGGTTCAAGATTGGGATGGACTACTTGGGTGCTATCCTCATGATGCCCAACATGTGCGTATGAAAACCAACAGAGAGACATAGAATAGGTGATGGCTTGCTAAGGAATCATTACAATCATATGATACATATGAATCAATGTAATCATTCCAACATGATCTAATCTTGCCCAATCCGTTTGACAACGACGGCGAAGCTTCTTGAAACGCCATTAGAGGGTGAGTTCGCTGAGCTGCTGAAATATCAATGTGATACCCTAGATGGATCCAGATATTGTACTTAATGTATCTCTCTCTCTCTCTATATATATATATATATCTGTAACATTACATATATATATATAACTATATATGTGGGTGTACGGTACGTAAATGTAGTTATATTTCAAACACACACACACACATTTTCATACACGCATATGTATGTATTATATATATATACACACTTTAGGATATAACTATAAATTGTATATACATATATAGCAATGCATACATGAATATATATATATATAGATAGACACATTAACACCACAATTTAATGGATCCTGACTTCGAGCATCGGTGGTGCCAAATTCTACGTCAGGCGGCTGCCTTGGCAAAGCCATGATGGTGGTGTCTTTCCCGGCGCACTTAGGTGACCTGCCGATACGGTCGTGGTTCAAAATTAGATTTATGATGGGGATATACCCTTCCTTTACATTCACATAGACATAGACCCTGCCAAATAGGTGGCCTGGAAGATTTGTTTCCACTCAAAATGGACTATTTTCAGGGTCTATGTGAATTGGGGGGAGTGTAATTGTATGAACCAACCATAAATGGGGAATACGTAAGTATATAACCAACAATCTGATATGGATTGGGGATTATCTCTGCATATGGCCGCTACTCATGATTAATAGTGGGGATATTGATATGTTGGGGACAAAACTTGGGTTTCAAGGGGTTTTCTAACCACCAAGGGACCATAATGATGAAACTCCATAGGTTTTCTTGGGGTACTGTGTTTTATCCACAAGCATTGAACATTTGAGCCAGGATGATCTAAAATATTGGAACACTAAGAGACTAAGTATTTTTACACCTGTGTTTTGAATCTATTCAATCTGAAACACTTAGACAAATGGTTGGGTCCCATGCGCAGCAACGAACATGGGATGGAACCCTTCCACTATTTGGCATGCGGGCCAGGGCATTGAAGCAGAGAGCGACTATTTTCAGGGTGTCACGCAACAATGTGGAGATAGTCAGAATGAACTGTCATCAATATCCATGGGACCTGGGCTGAAAAGGAGATACCGCTTTGGTCGAGGTGTAGTTTGTTGGGATGTGTGCAGCGCATGCAACAGATTTTGCGTTAATTACTGTAATTGTATATATATATATAGATAGATAGATAGATTTCCAGTTGTTTGATACAGATCTGTGATAAGTTTCTGATAGATTCGTTGATTTTCCCTTGAGTTGTCTGGGATTGGTGATTTTCAAGGCAGAGCCTCCTGGCATAGATGGGCTCTGGGCTGATCAGCCCTTTTCAATTGTCTTTGTAAATACATTTGAAGGCTGCGCAGCCCCAAATTATGGGTAAATTCTGGGTTTACCTGCCTCAAAAGATGTGAATGTTGAACACCCCAAGTCATTTGCAACATTTTTGGGTTTGGTTGTTTTTTACTGGAAGACAGGTCAAGGATGAATGTCCATGATCAGCAGGAAAATCATTTTAACATATTTCTTTTCTAGGAATTGCTTCAGAAGGTTCCCAGTGCCCTGCACCAGGTGGTTGCAGCGAGTTGAGTCTCTAGCGACCGGAAAAGCCGTTGCGGAACCAGTGAAGGGATAGCCCCAGCAACAGAACCAGCGCTGGTTCTGCGGAGCGGGTTCTGCTACATGTAGCCCCCAGCACCGCCGCCTTTTGCTCAAGGGAACTCAAAGGAACTGCGGTATGGGCCCGAGACATGGCTGGCAAGATCCCGAGACGCATGCTACGGGACAAATGTCTGAAAATAGGATACCTTAAAAATCCCATGGCTTGCAATTGCCATAGATTGGACATGCATTAGCGCAAGTAATACCGACATGACAAAATGTGTATAATTGTATAATTGTATATTATTATTATTATTACAATAATAATTATTATTATCATCATTATTATTATGATTATGTTTATTATAATATACATATATATATATATATTTATTATATGTGACTTGGGGTAAACATCTTCATTTCCCCTCTATGAAATGGTTATTTTTATTGGGGCTAACATACCCGACATCCCCCATTCTGAAACACACCAAAAGTGCGCAGATGGCGCGCCGCCCGATGCCACTCGAGGCTCAGACCTTGATGTTGTCCTGTAAGTTTTCAGCCAATTCTGGAATACCATAAATAGGATTGAACGTTTTAAGTAATATGGATGTCTTCTAGGTAGAATGTAAATGACTTGAGATGGATTCTTGGCAATCTGGGAATCACGTCCACGAGCAAGAGTTCTATTTGTCTCATATGGGCCTAATATGGGCAGTGCCTCATAGATACGTAAACTAGACCTGCATGTCAGATGTCGTTCATCTTTTCCTCAGCCCTGTTCGATTCAGGTACGTGTGTGCTACGGTCAAAACTTGGGTAATTTGATGTAATTTGCCTATCTCGGGGGATGGTCATCCATCCATTCATGAATAGGGATTCATATACCCTCTGGTAATTTAACATAGCTATGGAAAGATCCACCATTTTTAATGGGAAAATCCACTATATATGGTCATTTTCAATAGCTATGTCAGCCATTACCAGAGGGTATCCATGATGTGTGGGTTCCTATGAGATGAATGTGCATACCAGAAAAACACATCCAAGGTTCCTTGAAGAAACTCCCTTCACATGACATTGAGCGGTTCCAATCTCATTTAGCCTCCGGTAATCAAACAAAGTTTTAAACACCAAGCACTTATCAGAAAATGATTCATTTGAATTGAAATAAGACACTGTAAGTCATTGTAAGATACATTTCATGTCAAACCACCTGGATGAGATCATCCAGTGATTCACGTGTGATCCAGGCCTAACCTGAAGGAGAAGCTACCGTAAGATTTCATGACCCAACTTTCGGGCCATCGTGGCCTGTTTCACCACCTGAAATCAGGTGGCGATGGCAATCCTGAAGCCGCAGGCGGTGACATGCGGTGACAGAATATCCCTGCAATGAGGCATCCCCTAATCTCATCTAGTGATCTAATAATCCCCAGAAGAATGGTCCAAATTGGTGGAGGCGGCTTGGGCTCAACCTGTCCCCACTGGATTTGTGAAGGTTGCAGAGACCACGACTGCCACTGAAGGTGCCCACATTGTGCCCGGTGGTGGAAAGGGAGCCTGGATGATGAAAGAGGTCTTCTTAGGGGATTTATATATAGACACACACATATATAATATATATATATATATATGATTTTAGACCAAAAGATGACCAAACGGTTTTGAAAGAATTTGAAAGGTGCCCTGCTTTGCATTGTTTCGACACGTGCTCGTGGCATTGCATGAGGTCGGGCACATCTGTTGATTGTGAGGACCCCTGAGGTACTCCTTAAGAATCGAGATGGAACATCCCCGCAAAGGGTTTAGAGGATGATGTTCCCGTTGGGTGGCAATGTTTGCATGTGAAGGGGCGTATCCCACAAGCCCCGTGGCAGATCAAGCCGGGGTGCAATCTCTGCAGAATCAGGCCCGATTGCCGAGTGTTTGGACATTTTTGGGGAACATCCACATGAGACAGATGGGTATGTGTGACAGTGGTAACTTGGCTGTTTCCAATATGTCATGCATATGTCCATATACAAAAAAAACATGTGTATTTTCAATCTTATTAGGAAGATGAACAACAATGAACCCAAAAAATCTGGGGGACTCTGAAATGTGAACCATGCTGTCCCAGAATGTCGACATATGGGGATGGGTCAAGCTATGACATGTTGAGGGATATTGGGGGGATGAACATCCATAAATCCCAGCTATTTTGCTGTTCACCAGGGGATTCCATGGGTTTTGATCTTCCCCTTAGCACCGCCAAAAACTGTCAGGCGAATATCCCAATGAGTGCCGGTGCCATTCCGGACCGCGGGATCTCGGGATCTCGGGATCTCGTGGGGGTCATGAAAATTGTTCAAATGGGACCTGGGACCGTTGCATCATGGACTTTTTTTGACAGGTTTCATCCAAAGCGGCCCTGAATGCACCGCTTCAGCACTGAAAAGATACTGGAATCACTAGAAGTGCATTGATCCCTTGCTGTGTTTTCACACGTTCGCTTCTTTTTTTGAAGATTTAACTGGCGAAGCTTCCGGGTTTCGAGCGCTTCGAGGGGTGTGTTTTGAGGATGTTGAGGAGCTCCTGAACGACGGAGTTTCTTGGTGTCGATGTCAGAAATTGAGGCATGGATCGGTCGATGATACAAGTCAATGTTTTAGGGGTCTGCGTAGCCCACAGCTTTTAGCTGATTGTAGATGATTGATGGTGACAAGTTAGTGATAAGTGATAAGTTAATTATCTTAATTGTTTTTTTTTTGGAAGGCTCCGTTCAGCATTTTGGGGACCTTCGACCCAAGTGCGGTTTGGAGAACTGGGCACAAAGCTGGCGTGCAGTTTCTGCAGTACCCAAAAGGCAGATTCGTTTTCTTGGCACATTGAGATATTGAGGTCGTTTCTGGCTACCCTCTGGTGAACTAACATAGCAATGGAAAATCACCATTCTTAATGGGAAAATCCACTATATATGGTCATTTTCAATAGCTATGATAGTTCACCAGAGGGTATCTAATTTGTAGGAAATAATATGGAATGTCATGGAACCACCCGATGAATTTTCTTCAGTCAAATCTCTTGTACTACTTGAAGCAGCCCAGCCATTTTCCCAGCTGGAAAATGGAGTCCAGGCTGACAGCCCATGTCGAAGGATTTTTCCATATTTTTCCATATTTTTCCCAGTCACAGATTATTTCAAGCTTCACTGGTCCTTGGCTGAGGTGGGATCCTACCATTTGTAGTCAGGACCCACTGGGCCACCACACATTGAAGCGAATTTGGAGTCGACATTATGAAGATTCAACAACATGTGCGCTCATCAGAGAAGATGTTCGCAGTTGATGAACCACAAACTGAGGATTCCTCTACACGAGATCGCAGGCATCCAAACTGTTGGGGAATGTGAGAACCGACTAATATCTCGCCGAGAATCACAGCAGAAACTCCAATGAAAATCGTCCGTCCCATTCTGCCATCGGATGCCATCGGCTGGTTTCTTTTGTTTTATTGTCTCAGCACTTTCACAGATTTTCACTTATTTTCCAGGGATGCTTGGAACTCCCCATCCAGATACACCAGAATGGTCGGACTGACGAACCAGCCAGGCCCATCATGCTGCTGCTGGCCATGGTGGCTTTGAGGCCTGGGCGCGCCAGGACAGTCACATGATGTCACATACACGTATATAGCGATTACATGTTTGTACACAATAGAGACTATCATATAGTATCTATATCTATATGAACTATTTTTATACATATATGCAAAAAAAATCAACATGCAATACATTATGAATCTCTATGTTTGCATAATATATATATATATATATATATGCATGTATACACATAATGACACGGCAACTATATGAGTTTTACATAAACAATTTTCTCCGATCCTTTATTTTGATCAGGAAGATCTCTCAACAATCCAAGTGATGTGCCCATGGCCACCATTTTTCTTGCTGAAATACCCGTGTTAGCTATCGTTCGTTGGTTATATTTCTCTATTTTCCCGAAAGCTCTTGCGAATGTTTTTTTTGCCCCAAAGAACTGCTGGCAAATTCAACTTTTCACTTCAGCTACATCTTTCACATCACCTACATCATCTACATTAACTTCAAACACCACCACATGCATCTACATCTCCTACTTCTCTCCTATATCTTGTACATCATCTACGTCATCCACATCTACATTTGCATCACATATATATCTACAACATCTATATCAACTTCATCTACATCAACTTCATCTCCATCATCTACATCATCTACATAATCTATATCATTTGCAGAGGAGTTGTTACATGGGAATTGTCATACAATACAGGAGTTGTGACACAGAAGTTGTCATACAGGAGTTGTTACACAGGAGTTAACTTCCAGGTGATCCACTTGTATCTGAACTCCTACAAAACTCCTACTTCTCAAGAGTTTCTAAATGTCTCTTTTGGCGGCAGGGGCAGCCAGACGACGGCTTACGAAACGTGACCCTCTGCGGAGATCGCGCATGTCGGACGCACAAACGTGGTGAAACGCGAATTTGTCTTGCTCGTGGCTTGTGCCGGAGGAACCCTCTGCGGAGAGCGTACGTGTCGGACGCATAAACATGTGGCGAAACCGATTTTTTTTATGCGCGGCATCGCCCTTTCGTACGAATTGATGGTCGTCCAAAACTGCTGTGAAATTGCAATTTTGAAAGTCTAGATTCTAGATGCAACCCTTTCGCACGACATGAAGGTCAAACGGCAAAAACTGTTGTACAATTTTGATTTTGAAAGATCGGATGCAACCCTTTGCCGCACGAAACGAAGGTCGCACGTTCAACACGGGGTAAAAATGCGATTTTCCAACGTTAGACGTGCCCCTCGCAGGAAATAAAGGTCGAATGTGCACGACTGGGAAGGTAAACTTGCGATTTATCGTCATCATCATCATCATCATCATCATCATCACCACCACCACCACCACCACCACCACCACCAGCATCATCATCATCATCATCACCACCACCACCACCACCAGCATCATCATCATCATCATCATCATCATCATCGTTTCTTGCATATTGTTCTCATCTCCTGCCTCCTGCTTTCTTTCAGGCCACACTGTCATCTAGTCTGGTTTTGAGTGAACATACCCTTGTTCCTCTCCATTTTGCTGGTCTTCATCTTAAATACCTGCTCCTAATCTATTGCATCCACATTTTTGCTAGCTATAAGAGAACATAAATAATAAGAGAACATCGAGAACTTAGCTCTTATGACTTATGTCATTTATTGAAATATATCATTATAACTATACATATATATATAAGTCCCTATTTTTCTTCATGATTTCCTATCCCACAGGATCCATGGTGCTGCTATATATGGTGTGCCATGGATCCCATCAATATAGCCCAGTCATGTTATAGCATGGTAAATGTTATTGATGGTATATTGATGGCATATATGTGGTCATGCATGGTAAATATATGGTCAATTTAGCATCATACATGTATACCATACATGTTATATATCAATATATACCATTATATACCATACATGTATGCCATACATTTATAATACATATATATCATACATGGTGCTATAGATTGTTATAGCATATATATATATATATTAATACTTTATACATTTAACATTTACCATCAATATATACCAGCACCAGCCGGATCCACCATTTTGGCCCAGCTCAACGCCCGGCCCAGTCGCCCCGGCGCGGAGCGCGCGGAGCGCGCGGAGAGGCACCGCAAAGCCGCCCTGGGCGGTGCCTGATGCCGGGAGCTCGAATGGGGAGGCTGGGGACTGCTGGGAAAACCCATAGGAAAACCATAGGAAAACCAGAAAAACCATAGGAAAACCATAGGAAAACCATAGGAAAATGGAGGATGAGCAAGAAAAATATGCGGATTTTTTATGGGATGTCATGGGATATTGATTTACGATAGCTAAGTTGACGAACATCATTTGGTGAATGTTTGTGTTGAGTTGATTATGGGATGTGATAACTATTTTTATGGGTTTATAAACCAACATATAACTGGGGGGCCTCACCTTGTACCCTCTGGTAATAGCCATCTATATCCAAATGTGGGGGATGGTTACTATCATGTGGTTGGGAAATTTGCCTTCTGGTAATTGGTTACACTTTGCGAACTGGAAACCATTGCCCATGAAAATTCGATTCCTAGTACATAATTAATGGTGATTTTGCATACTCCAATTGCCGGCGGGTACGACATAAAACTGTGATGATCCCAATTGACTTTCATGGTTGAAAGCACCAAGCATGATGGGCCTCCAGCGGTCACATAACATCTTCGGAGTCTTGTGAGTGCGAACGTCACAGAGAAGTCAGGTTTGATTCAGCTGAATTTGTTTTGGTAATACACCTTCCATGTCATGTTGTGCTGGCCTGGTCACCGACGAGTTTCGCAGTCCATTTGAGCACCAGTCGAAAACTCCCAAACACAGGTATCAAGAATCTATGGCTCTTTAGGTTGAATGGTTTCAAAATATATACAACAACTTTGATCGGTGCAGATTCGGATACGATGGATCCAAATTTGTGCATTCACAAAAATACAACTGGAAGTTAAGTTCAAGACATTGTATCATGTATACAAGTAAACACACACACACAGAGACACAAACACACAGATGGAGACAACACACATATGCAAAGATCATCAAAAATCGAGAGAGATGCACATGTCTTGCACCATAGCAACATATCTTGTCCACTGGTAGTTTCGGATTTCTTTTTGGAGTGCGCAGCGGGGTTTCTCCGTTGCGAGCGCGCCGTCCCGCGGCACCATGGAGACATACTTCGAAGTCACCTGTGAGACTGTGCCTGGAGTACCTTGGATGATGACATGGCTGCGTGATAGGGGTATGGATCAATACCTATTAATACCATTTTTAGGGGAATGAACATCCATTTACCAGCTATTTTGATGTTCACCAGGGGTACAAGGTTTTGACACACTGCCATAGCTGAACATCGGGTGTAGCCGCGTAGTTCAATAAAAGTTCCCTTTTGAGTGGGCACATGATGATCAATGATGGGATTTTGATGGATTTTTTGGCAGCGTGTTTTTAGACAAAGCCACATTCACACAAGAAATTGGAATGAGTGGCAGCTGTTTCTTTCTCATAATCATCCCGAAGAGCAAGGAACATAAATGCACAAGGGAATCGGTGAAAATCTTGCTGCCTTGTTATTCTAAACTTACCTACCATTCTCATCCATTGATATGTTGGATCTATTTGGGGCCCATATGGGTTTGTTTGAGTACAATATATACATATATATATATATGTATACATATACTCATATATTTCAATGGTAGAACCATGTTACCCCCCACTTTTTCATGGTCAAAACTGACCCAGCATTTTTGATGTGATTTTCTTGGATTCTCTAGCATCTCTAGCCATGGTTTCATGAATTTCACCCATGGGATCAGCCAGGAATCGGTGGCGGTCTGCGGCAGTGGAACGGCGCTGGGCGAGTGGTCCGTGGCCAACGCCCTGGAGCTGGATGCGGGAGCGAGGGGACACTGGGAGACTGGGAGACTGGAAGTGGGGATGGGGCAACGGCTCGGCAAAGTATGGTCATTTCATGTCATTTTCCCCAGAAATCCAGAAGCAAAGTCTAGGCTGCCTAGGCTAGTGCAGGGTGATGGAGAAACTGGGGCGTGCGATGGTTTAGCTTTCCAAGAGCAAGATGGTATTGACAGCTTCGCATGTGACACTCCCCGATGACACGAGGATGAAACATGACGAAACAGGGAGATAAAACAAGTTGGGCCCTTCAAGTTGGGTTTAGAAGGGCACAAACACAATTAGTAGTTACAACATGTTAAAACATATATTCATATATCTAATGAAGTGTCACTTTCTCATATTTTCTCCTCAGGACACCTTGAGCTCATGGGAAGTATGACATTTGCCGGCGCAGGAGACTATCCCATCTGGAAGGGGCACATCAGCAGCAACGAAGCCATCGAGCCCTTTGGCGATTTGGGGGTACACCCTTGACTTAGGAAACCTCCTTATATATGATATTTAAATCGATTATTATTAATTATTATTGTCATTTGCGACATATTGTTTTAAAGCGTTATTTGCACTGTATATGTGTATAATATTGTATAATTATCATCCTCATCCTCATCCTGCCCCTTTCACTTTCCACCATTTCTCTATGCTCTGCGGGTGTGATTGGAAAATGACGCTGTGAGAAGCGGGGAGCAATGCTGGGTGAACGGTGCAGACATTGGAGTCGGAGAGTCGGAGATGGTTTGAAGAGAACAGGTTTTTTTTTGAGCCAATGCCATAAACCTCCCATGACTGGGGAAGGTTTTTTACACTCCATTTATGGTAAATATATGGTAATATTGGGGATGGTAAATAGTGGATTTACCGATGTTTTTTCAACTTGACAAGGCTCTGTTCTGGCAGAGCCTGGCTCCGCGTCCGAGGTTCAAATATTTGATTGTGAAAAAGCAGCTCGGATTGAAATGGGGTCAGAATGGGCTGGGATTGGCTGGGAGAGGCACCCTGCGTCACGCAGCTACTTGACATATTAGGCCCCCCACGGATCTTTGTCGCAATGGCGTGACACTCTGCCTTGACATGCCTTGGGCCATTTTTGGGACCCTCCTCCAATAGATAGGACACTAGCGGAAGGGTGGTACAAACTAACAGACAAGATGATGACACGAGGGCAGTCGGCCGAGTGATTCGTTTTTTTGGAGATTTACATTGATACCTGCTTCTCTCTCTTTCTCTCTCTTTCTCTCTCTCTTCTGTCTCTCTTCTGTCTCTCTTCTGTCTCTCTTCTGTCTCTCTTCTGTCTCTCTTCTGTCTCTCTTCTGTCTCTCTTCTGTCTCTCTTCTGTCTCTCTTCTGTCTCTCTTCTGTCTCTCTTCTGTCTCTTCTCTCTCTCTCTCTCTCTTCTCTCTCTATTCTCTCTCTCTCTCTCTCTTCTCTCCCTCTCTCTCTCTTCTCTCTCTCTCTCTTCTCTCTCTCATCTCTCATCTCTCATCTCTCATCTCTCATCTCTCTTCTCTCTCTCTCTGTCTCGCGCTCTCTCTCTCTCTCTCTCTCGCTCTCGCGCGCGCCGTTCTTATGCGCTGGGATCCATGCAGAGATTACAGTAGATTCATCCCAGTTCAAATTGGGCCAATGTATCTTTGGTCCCCAGTTCCACATTGGTGGATCTGTGATTCAGGTTTTCTGTTTATTTCCATATTGATGAGCTGATGATCTTCCCCGCTTTCATGGATTACGTATACCACCATCCTTATGGATTTCTCTGAAAATGGGGCATACCCCGCATCGGCTGGTTGATCATCATTTTCCCCTTCAATTGGCTTTGCTATTTGGGGTACAGTGGAACCCTTGGATCAGAAGCAACTAAGTTTTTTTTGGGTTCTTAAGTCAATTAAGGATCCATTTTGGGGCATTACAGTAAGGCTGAGGGTACCCTCAAGTGCAAGTTCTTATTTCACATCATCGTTTAGTTGGATTCATGCACAAACCCAACTATCATATCATGTCGGTTCAGTGTTACCGTTCTATTGCCAGTATAGTCTCCATGACATTCCATATATAATCAGCTACAACCCATTGTATGCCCATCATATCGCTATGATATTCCATATACAATTAGCCAAATCCCATTGTATTCCCCTAAGTCTATATCTATATACAATCAGCTAAATCCCACTATATTCTCATGATATTCTCAGCTAAATTCGCATGATATTCCCATTTAAGTCTCCCATTAAGTCACCAGTTTTCATGGATCCCCTTAAATCAGCTAAGTTCCTATCAAATCCCACGAATGGTCCCCATAATCAGCTGAGTTCCCACTAGATCCCATTAATTCCCATGAATGGTTCCGCTTTCCTTGCGGATTCGTCCCATGGATTTGTCCATGAGGCAAGGGCAGAACGAGTGGAGTTTGGTGCGCTGGGAAGGGGACTTCGCCAATCGCCGCTGTGAAGCCGCAGGCTGCTGGGCTTGGGATCAACTCCCCAAATTGCCATTTAAGAATGAGTGATAATGAGTGATACTTAGTGATAATGAGTGATAATGATTAATGATAATCAATGATGATTAATGATTCAGAATGATTAAGATTGATCTATGACAAATAATGATTCGCAATGGGGGCATAATATGGGAACATATCTTACTATCGGCGTTGGCCTCTTTATTTGGGCCTTTCTGTTTTCTGGTGTTTGGACCCAGGAACTATTTGCAGATTTCCAGGAACTATTTGCAGAGTTCCAGGAACTATTTGAAAAAACATGCATTATATTGAGGGGAATTAGCGAGGGAAATTTGATGATGAGTTAGCACAGGCTAGCTAAAGGGAAAACAGCAACACAACACTTAAATGCCCTTAAGTGCTGAGTCCAACTGATTTCAGCTTACCAGTGCGTCCCTATTGTGGGTATATGGAAATGACAGTACTCATGAGTTATGGTATGGGATATGTGCATCCATAACATGCCAACATGTTGCCTTGCTAAACTTGGGAATCTCGTGTGTGGAAACAAGCACCTCGGGCATAAAAATACCAGTTTGATTTGATAAATCAATCGGCCAATCATATCAAGAGCCATGTCAAATATACCAGAACCAAAAAAATATGGTTCAATGAGCCAACGAATAAAAAACAGCACCAGCCGGTTTTGGTGTATCATTCAGCGGAAAAGATGCAAAATGCAATAAAATCATTTCCAGCCTTACTGAGCCATGGAAACCAATCAGGCCAAAAAAGAAAAAACAATTCACCCCCGGGTCGCCCAGAAGAAGCACATCGAACCGAATCGTATGTTTGCACGAATCATCAAGTCATTTCGTGGCATGTACTGTATCTGTAGCAGAGGCATGTATACTGCATGAATGCTCTATGGACCGAAAACTTAATGTAAAAAATATCTTCAAAATATATGCAAAACTCAAATGAACTAACCATTGTTTCTGGTGGTCTTAAACTTAGAGTATTGGAATCATATTCAATAATAAACCACCAAAAGTCGAGGTAGCTTAAAACACTGGCCCAAAACCCATAAGCCTACGATTATTGTAGACAGATGGTTTGGTGACTGCTTTGGCCTCGCTATGTTTTTTTTTTTAATAGGCCCAGGAGTTTGGAAACAAAAAAACGCCAATATCAGCATAATGCAGTAAATAGCTTCTGGGATTCTATAAATAGTTTCTGGGATTCTGAAAATAGTTCCTAGCATTCTACAAATAGATCCTGGGTAGCTATGGCCCCCAACACAGAAAGAGGCCAAAGCAGTAAGTAAAACATATCACAATAAGATTATACAACCACGAATATGGTTTTTGGGTGTGTCTGAATTCATGAAGGATGAGGAAAAAAGGGGGGGTACCATCCACAAATGGATGGTTTGTTTTTTTTTGAAAATCCATCTATAAATGGATGATTTGGGGGTATCCCTATTTCAGGAAACCTCCATATATACAATATAATACATGTACATACGTTTGCAACAATAAGAGGATATAAACCTGGGACGAAAGCGATAGACCGGAAGGATAATCAGCCCTTCATAGTGCAGATCTGACTTTGTAGATGTGTTCTTGGGTAGGAGTGCCATGACAACACATCAATTTGTACACATTTCGATTTGTCTCGAAATTGGGAACCCCAAATTAGTTTGTTTATCATCATTTTCTCATGAACATGGTAATATCATGTAATATCCCCATTCCTGGGATTTGTGCAGTTCATATCCAATAAAGCCAGTTGACATCTCCTTCCTGTCGCAGGGCGAATACGAACACTGCGTCATCGTTTTGGGGACAGTTCCTACGAAGCTTGGTGTGTCACAAGCTCTGTTGGACTCCAACCATACGAGAAGCGGCCCCCTCAGTCAGAAATTCTCTAGTGCTTTACAAATCCAGCTGCAGATGTACAAGTATGTTTTACTCCTATCATCAATATTCATCAATTGGTTTAGATATGTTTAGATGTTATAAACCAACTTATTCATTGAGAAGGGAGCCCTTCTCAGTAATATGATCGTCCTCCGTCATGTGGGCATCCAAGGAATCCAAAGAGATCATCGAAGCCGAGCCTGAAACTCCCAGCAGTCCCAAACCACAGCTGCCTTCAGCTGCGGTCGCACGGAAGGCCGAAATTTGTTGAAACAACTCATCTCCAAAAAAGGATATGAATCAAGTGGGATCATCATCCCAGGCTAGCTGGAGAACATGTTTATATGTATATATTCTATGAAATTCTAAACATAATGACTCGTGAGTTCTGGATATCCTGTACACCTACGACATATATTTGACACAGTATCAATTATCAAACACGTAACAAGAACTGACATGCCAACCTCTGAGCATCATCCCACAGCAGGCTATGCTTGGTAATCCATATATAATCCATACATAACCCACATACAACTGGGGATATCGTTGTAACCCATTTACCAACTGGGTCCCGCACGTCCGAGATTGAGCCCCGCAGGAGTCTGGCATCTTGTAGCCTGGCGAAGGTCTTGTAGGGTGCCAGGTCTGGGTTGCGAATGGGAACAGCACTAATAAAGTTGTTGGGTAAGAAAACAACTCTTGGGGATATGAAATACATAGAGAAGTGGAGATGTATGAATAATTCACCCAGAAAGATGGACTGTTGGACTGGCTTGAACCCACCAAAATTAGTGTCTTCAAATTGGCTTCATGTTGCATTCTAGCGCAGACGATCCCAATTGGCTAACATATTTTATAGGGGGCTCGGGCGGAACTACCAGTTCCTCAAGGCCTTGCGAGTTGCGAGCCGGGAAGAGCCGCAGGGCCTGTAGGGAACCGTTCCTTGGGGCTACGCTCGAAATGATGCAGAATCGCTCTCAGAGATTGTCACACCGTGACCCCAAATGGGCAAACATCCCTTGGGCGATTAGTCCCGCTTATTACAGGCAATTTCTCGCAGTTGCAGCGGTATCAGTGTGAAACACATTTTTCCTGAGCCAGAAATCCGCAGCATTAGAGTGGGTCTTGAGAATGGACCCATAGCCATAGACCCCGGTTGGTGGTTTCAGATATATTCTACTTTCCATTTCAATCCTGATCATTTAGGATGATGATCCCAATTGACTTTGAATTTGGGATGGATTGAAACCAACCAGATCTGCTATCAGATTTCCACAACCTTCCCATGCTTGCGAAAAATCCTGGTCATGTGAGCAGTGTACAGTATCAAACCCCAGTTGCTTGAAAATCCCATAAAAAAATGGTAGAAGGGGGAAGCTAGGACAAGACAGGTTGTAGGTCAGGTGGGAGGCTGTTATGTTTTTGTTCAATCTTGTAATCTGAAATGTTTGACTGTTTCTTTTTGGTTATATTGCTATATATTATATAAATGTTTTAGGTTGTTGTAATAATGTTTGGTTTCAATGAGGGTAGGTTTTGTTGAGGGTGTTTTGCCTGTTATGTTTTTTATGTTCTTGTTCAATGTTTCTTCCTTCCCTTTGATGTTTTATGTGTTGTATGTTCTGTTTTTTTTTGTCGCTAACTTTTCTGGGGCTTTCTGTTTGAATGTGGTTAGGATTTGTTGAGGTTGTTATGATTTAACCATCTGGATATGAGGGAAATGTTGCGTTAAGGTAGTCGATGGTTTCTTGGTGTTTTATTCGTTTCAGTTCTTCATCCGTTTTCTTTTGTTGTTCTATTTGTTTTGGGTTAGGTTTGTTCAAGTGTTTTTCTTTTTTTTATGTCGTTGGGTTCTTTCGTGTCTTAACATTTTGTTTCTTGAAATCTCAATTTTACAAATGGGACATTCAACCTTTTCTCTCTGTTTCTCAAGTTTTTGTCGTTTGTATTGTTCATAGTGTTCCCGCTCTTTTTGTCTTAATTCTTCTCGGTGATTTTCTCTATAATGCTGTTTCTACTCACAACATTTTTGACATAATGCCTTTCCATTAGCAAAGTTTTCTAGAGTTTGCGTCTTTTTACATTTTGAACATTTCCTACCTTTATGTTCGTTCATTAAAGTGTTCTGGGACTATATCTTCAAATGGGTTTCTGGGTCTCAAAGATTACTTCATAATATGTTTAATCGGAAGTTCCACTGTTTCATGACTTTGACAGAGACTCAATGTCCTTCAAACTCTTCTTGCACATCATCACAGCCTTTGAGTTCGTGAGCAACATCCTCATTGCACCTCGTCAGCACTGGTGTTCTTGCAGTCCCAGACTTCTGCTGTCTTGTGTTGCATTGCATCACATTGCATGACATGACCTGTTGCTCATTGCATTTCGCAGCACTGGCTGTTGCTCAACATGTGCAGACAAAAACGCTAAACTCCTCATGGCTTCGAGAGCTTGGGCGTGGCTTCGCGCTAATGCAGCACCGCTGGGCGTTGTGACGCCCGTTGTCGGCGTCTTCGCCTCCTATGCGTGGAATGCAACTGAGACCCACCGGATGGCGCGCAAAATCCGCAGAGGATACTTCCAACCAGAGGCTCCTGCGGACTACGACCACCGGTTTTGCCTGTTTGACAGGTACATGATGGAGAAAGCTTCAATGGTCGGCCTCGTTGGGTTAAAATCCACAGGGAAGTCCAGCACTTTGTCGCACTTCCTGAGAGAGAAGCCGAACCCGTTCTACCTCAAGCTCACGGATGGCAACGTCTACGACGCAATGTATGGCCAGATGAAAGATTCAATCCTTTGTCTCCCCTTCTTCGCAGACTATCTTCGGTGGGATGCTAGGAAAAACAGCGAGAAGATCGTCATCGAAGTCTTCAAGTTGGTGCGGGAGCAGACAGGCTCGCCGGTGCAGGTGGGGGTGGATGTGGTGTTACCCGCCAGTGCAGTGGTCTCATCAAAGGCAGACCAAGCAGTGAAGACTGCGCAGAGTGTGCTGTTGGGAACGGCAAGCTCAGTCCCAATTTCCACCGGAATCCACGTCCACCAGCTCGTCAAGGATGTGAAGTGGCTTTGTGCTGACGCGAGGGTGGCTTCGGCAGTCATAGCATCCAGCGAGGGCTTGGAGCTTCTGAGTGTGAATGAGCCAAGACTTGAGAAGCTGATGGCAGAGGAAATGCCGGTCGAGAAAGCCAAGGAGTACCTCCAGCACATCCACGCCAAGGGCTACACGGAAGAGATGCTCAAGAACGTCCCGCGAACCTTCGAGAGCCTTCAAAAGTTCAAGAGAGCACAGGACAAAGAGGCATTTTGCAAGAAGGAGATGGAGGAGTGGATGATGAAAGTGGAGGAATCTCAAGAGCACTGCTCCCACGACGGCAAGGATGGAGGTCTCAGGGCTGCGAAGGTTCTCTACAGCAAAGCACTTGTTGGAGCAGTCGACTACAGGGACATTCGCCAGCACTGCAAAGATGTGCAGAACTTCATGGCGAATTTCGTGAGACCCAACCTCTTCACCCCCACATCAGGTGCGAAGTACAAGTTCCAATTCGATTGTGTAGCCGAGGCAGCGAAGACTGTGTTCGGCCTGTAGCCACTGTAAGTTTGAACAGGTACAGGGTGTAGAGTGAACAGCAGAGAGATGCAAAAGTGTGAGCATCAGCATCAGAGCACGTGATGATTTTGTCAAAAAAACAAAATGAACAAAGCTGTAGCACAGAAGCTGCAATCTTCGCGCATTGTTTGTTTCTGCGTTCCCTCATGCCACCCACCAGTTGAAGCGCTTGCGCTGAGGTATTGACATGATGGAGGAGAAGGGGGCGGACTACTCTCCCCTGCACACACATCCCACACATATAATATAGTATATCCCCCCTACCCCACTCATTCACCCCCCTGTTTGTCAGAAGGGACAGCGTCTCTCCAAAATATGGGAACGGGAAAGGGATTCAAACATATATATATATATATTTAAATTTGTTGTTTCATATTTAAAAATCCATCAACTGGGAGGGAGCGACACGCTCTGGCGTGTGGAAGTTGCCAAAAAACATATCTCCCAGTTGATGGTGGCGGATTTTTTACAAGTGCTTCGCTTCAATCCAGACCTCGACCATCAACGACGTGGTTGGCACACAACTGACATAAAATGCTATGAGACTTTCCGCGCAATCTGGCATAGAATTTATGAGACATTCACGACATGAAATCTTTGAGACACCTGTAGGAACAGTATTTCAACAAGTGTCCTGAACTGCTCTTTTTTGACCCCTTTTGACACCATTTGAGGACACTTGTTAGGACACCCCATTATTCAACATAAAACCCAAAAATACTTAAAGACATACCGCCTTATATAATTAAGAATTGAATATGCCCTGCTATATGTATATTAACGGTATGAAGCAAGAAATGGACGAAGACCTTTTCGACCAAATGGCGGCAGCACTACACCAATCCAGCAACCCCCACAATCCACCAACAGCAACATCCACAAGATGGAAACAACCAGAGGCTATTTTAACGACTTCAAGAAGTCGTTATAAACCCGACGGAACTTACGACAAGAAACCGTTAGACCCCAATTATTTTTCAAAGTATTATCAAAAGAGATTATCAACTCCTTTCACCTGTCCTGACTGCGGACGCACAATAACAAGCAAATCAAATCTATCAAAACACCGTCAAACCAACGTTTGTATGAGCAACAGACGCCATTGATGAAACGTTGAACTCAAACCTCAATCCCAGAAATTCCAACAGGAGACCAAAATCCAAAACTACTTAAAGAAATATTACCTTATATAGAATAGAGAATATGGGAGAGGGTGTAAGGTTGAAAAATCAGACTAATATTGAAAACCAACACAACCAACAATCCAATCAATCTCAACAACCTCAACAGATAAATTCAACTGAAAAACTACTTAAAGAAACATACACTAATAATAATATAGAACATAATATAATGAACACTTCAGACCAGATTGTTTTAGATTACATTTTATCAAGTGAAACAGGCGAGATATTGAAACGGAATGGAGAAGAACTTAAGAAACTGAAGATAGGTGAGAAGACCTACAACTTTGAAAGGAACAAACCCATCACGAACAGATTGAAAACCAAATTCAACAAAATTAGACAGACTATGGACTACAAAAGATACGAATTGAAAGAGAAGAGAGGCATTAGATGGATAAATTTAGACAAGAACAAAGCCTTAACAGGAATACAAAAAAGATACAAAGCAACCATCACCGACGAACAGTCAGCATTCAAGAATTATACATCATCTTATGCCATCAGCGACATCAGGGTCAAAGGCGTCAAGGCAATACAATATCTAAAATATCAAGACTTCAAGATAAGAGAATACTTACAAAAGCATAAAGGAATGAAGGTTTTATTACAAACCTTCAGCAACTTCAAGAGCAAGAAGACTAACGAAATTGTGAGAAGAGAAGTTAGGAGCAGAAGATATGAAATAACTAACGAAGACGAAATAACAAATGTATTGAACCAGATGGCAACAGACATTGAACATCAAGCGGAAGTATTAGAAATGTCTGAGAGTGGATTAGTCCTAACACAGATGGATAAGATAAAATTTAACTTTTATAAATACAATCCAACTCGTGGAGGTAAATTCATACCTTTACCTAAATGGGTTCAAAACAAAAAAACGTGTATCAACATCAAAAACGAAGATAATAAATGCTTCAAGTATTCCGTTCAATGTGGTATATGCAAAGTGTATGAGAAAGACCATCCCGAACGACTGTCTCACTACAAAAATTTAGATGATAAACTGAATTGGACCAATGTAAATTTTCCATCATCAAACATTGACATAGATACTCTTGAAGAAAACAATGATGGAAAAATAGCAGTCAATGTTTATTTTCTCAATCCTGAAGATGATAAACAGTCAATACTACTTTTGTATAGAAAACAAAGGTTAAAAGAGCAACTCATCAAATCAGCCTTTTGAAACTTGAAGACGGGGATGACTACCATTATGTTTATATAAAAGATTATGATAAACTTATAGGAAGTCAGACCAACAAACACAATGAAAAATATCATTGCTTTCATTGTAATCACGGGTTTAAATCACAAGCACTTTTAGACGAACACAGTGAAAAAGGATGTATGGCAGTTGAAGGACAACGAATAGAAATGCGAAGAACAAGACACATACTTTGACCTGACAGAGTCGAAGGAACATCTCAAAACCCTCCCACCCAATGAAAGACACAAAGTGAAGGATTGAGAGGTTAAGAAACCTCGCAAATGGACAAGACCCCAACGAAGGAATGAATGAAATTGATATGGTCATAAGAGAACTGGAAGAGGAGGAAAGGGAAAAGAAAAACCGACCCGAACTAAAAAAATGAAAGAGACCCCAAAAACTACTTAAAGAAAAAATACCTATATATAGTAAGAGGATGCTATTTACTTATAAAAACTGCGGATGTTGTAAGAAAGAAATGACTGACCTAAAGGATTTATTGAACAATATTTTTCCCGCTGGAATTTGTGATGAGATATGTGATTACAACCTTCACTGTTCAAAATGTAAAGACTTAAACGATAAGGAGCGTAGATACATAGATTTCAATTATCATTTTGACTATTTTAATGATAAAAAACTGACGAGAGTAGAAAAGACAATCTATTTCTTTAAAACAAGGATGGAGAAATCACCTATTTATTTGTCCAACACGAACCGAACAAACACTCGGCAAATGAAAAGAAAAATTGATGTTTTAATGGATACATTCAAACTCAAGCAAGAATTCAAACATGACAAACTGTTCTTAATGGCGATTAAGTCCTTTGTGAAAAAGGAGTGGAAAACTACCTATCACTTCCTTAAAAACTTTCACGACCTTACATATATGACATATTGTAAGAACAAACGGGAGTGGTGGTTTCCTCAAAACGATTGGATTTATACATTCAGAAATAGGGAGTTTAAGGTAAATGACATTTTGAAAATATTTTTGCGTGAATATGTTGAAGAACTGTTCAACGGTTATGAGAAATATTTGAACATAGAAGAAATAAAAGAGTATCTACAAAAAGTGGTAAATACTTAAAGAAAAAATAACTATATATAATAAGAGAAAATGAGTAAAGCAAAAATTCAGGTTATAGATAGAGATAATATCGGTATATATGCTGACTTTGGTAGTGAAAGCGAAGATGAACACGAATGTGATAGACAAGCAATAGAAAAAGAAGATGAAGAGATTAGAGACTTTGTAAAGTGTCATCCTATGCCTTCACCAGATGATGAGGAAGGAGAATACTGGTGGTTTAAAGTAATTGATAGGCTGAAAAACGACTAAGGAATAAATGGAATGATAATTTTTTCGCTTATGAGATTTGACATTATAAAAAGAATGTATGAAAACCTCACTAACAAAACAATTATCGTTGAATGTGGTAAGGAACTTAACCGTGATGGAAAATGGGATGCTATGGCAATAAATCAAACTCTATTAGCATTAGCAATAGATGAACTAATTTTAGATGATACAGACGAGCCAACTATCACAAGTCAAGTCAGGATAATTGAACACTGGTGGGATGGAATAGGAAAGTGGAAAGCATAAATGATTAATTCATAATATCTTAACAAAACATATTATGAAGTAATCACCCATCCAAACACAAACATAAACCCCAACAGCCTAAACAATTATCCCCCTCATCTTAAACCAAACCATCAAGTGAAAGTTAGGGGCAAAATATTCCCAAAACCACCACCACATAAAACATCAAAGATCACGAAAGGTAGCCTAGGCTACCTGAGTTCTATGTACTTTAGTACTAGTTTAGTACTGGGGGAGGTGGCTGCTCCTTTCCCGGAAATTGAAAGCCGAGAGTCACGAACGGAGACTTAGGGGGGGGGGGCCCCCCCCTCCCCCCCCCATTCGATTCCCCCCTGGTCCGCATTTTTTTCTCTCTCTTTTTCTCTGACTCTGTACCTACCTCCTTATCCATCTATCTATCGATATATCTATCTATCTAGTTGTCCATCTATGTATGTATTTATCTATCTATCCTTGGATCTATCTATCTATCTATCTATCTATCTATCTATCTACCTATTGATCTATCTATTTATCTATCTGTTTATCGATCAAGGTAGCCATCGATCTATCTATTTATCGATCGATGCTTCTATCTCTCTATCTATTTATTCATCTATTTATTTATTTATTTATAGTTTTATCTATCTATCTATCTATCTATCTATCTATCGATGTATTGATCTATCGATCTATCGTGGATGTTCTAGTCCCATTGAGGCCGTGCCGGGGAATAGAGACTCGCAATGTTTACGTCCCGCACATGCGTGCGCTCGCGCGCGCGCCGCGCGCGCGCGGAGAAGCACCTGCATGCAGGATGGTTCACGCGCGCGCGCGGCGCGCGCGCGCGCGTGAAGTTACTTTACATTTGACATTATGTTTCTGATTCTATTCCCACAAAGCTTTTTTGGGGGCTAACATTTTCTTCTGCAGGAGGTTTGAGTGAAGAGAAGTATCAATCTCAGTTTGGCAATATTTTTCCTGTTGCTCTCTTTTGCCCCCCCCTACCTTTCGTCCCCCCCCTCTCAAGTAAGGAAGAAACATTGAACAACAACATAAAAAACATAACAGGCAAAACACCCTCAACAAAGCCTACCCTCATTGAAACCAAACATTATTACAACAACCTAAAACATTTATATATATATAGCAATATAACCAAAAAGAAACAGTCAAACATTTCAGACTACAAGATTGAACAAACACATAACAGCCTCCCACCTGACCTACAACCTGTCTTGTCCTAGCTTCCCCCTTCTACCATTTTTTTCCCATTGTACAGAATCCCATTGAGTCCCGTTACAACCCTATGAAATCCTATTACAATCCCCGTAAAATCCAATATAGTCTCATTCATCCAGTTATAACACCATCATTATCCCATTCATCCAATTGTAATACCATTATAACCCCATGAAATCTCATTTTAATCCCATTCATCCAATTACAACGCGATTCTAACATACGTATTATAACCCCATGGAATCCCATTGTAAACCATCCCCCAGTCACCATTTTTATAGGTGGTATGGTTATAGCTGTTGCCATTCCCAGTCATGGGTGGTTTATCACATTGATTCACCTACATTAAAACCCATTAACTGGGTGGTTTATCATTGTTAAAGATCGCATTGAAACCCAATAAAACCATTAAAATCCATGAAAATCCATAAAAAACCGTTAAAATCTAGTAGAATCAATTAAACTCCATTAAAATCCATGAAAATCAAGTAAAATCCATTAAAATCCAGTAAGATTCAAACCACTCAAAATCCAGAAAAAATCAATTAAAACCCAGTAAAATCCATAAAACAAAATAAAATCAAGTAAAATCCATTAAAGCCCATTAAAATCCATTAAAATCCAGTAAAATCCATTAAAATCCAGTAAAATCCATTAAAATCCAGTAAAATCCAGTAAAATCCATTAAATCCATTATCAATTATTATTAACCTTTTATTAACTCCCCAATTGGGCCCAGGAAGGACATCCCCGTGGATCCGGCGGTCCGACTCACCCGTTTGGTGCGCAGTCGCTCCGGCGGGCGCTTCGAGGAGTCCTATGAACTGCGACCGGGAGACGTGTTGCTTGGGCATTTGCTTCATGATTTATAGATAGAGACTAGAGACGAAAGACGCTATTACCGCGTCTTCTAATTAACTACGTAATGTATAAATTAACGATGTTTTGAGATGATATATATATATACACATATATATATAATTAAATAGATATATATATATAATTACAGGATTAAATAACTATACATATACATACATGGGGGTTTCCGAAATTCCAAAATCATGGGGGTACTCGTACCCCCAGTCATCATCCAAGTCATTAGAGACCACGACTTGGTATTGAAACCTATGGTGTTTTGGGGATCCCATGTCTTAAGAACCACCCAAATTATATATATACACACCACATGATAAACGTTTATATAGATGTGCAAAACCCATGGGGAAACCCGCTCGGAGAATGATCTACAAATAGTGGGTTTTCCACATTTATGTCAGTTTACAGGCGGGTATATATTTATAAATAATACTATACATGTATACTAATATACTATAGAATATATTTGATACAATATATATATATATTAATATGATATATATATAATAATATGATATATATATAGCTTAATACATAAGATATAACCGGGATTAATAAAATTAGATCTGGTCGCGATTAATGGAATTTAATGAAGTTGAACGTGATTTATTTCATTTTTCCCAAATGGACATCCATCACTTTGGGAATCGATCCAAGGTTGGGCACAGGAATGTCTGGTGGAGTCATTGTGGGCAAGAACAAGACGCCTGGAGCTGCGATTGAGAAAAACTCATCCCTTTTTTCCCCTCTAAAAATCGCACCACCGGGAAAAGACAGGAAAGTGGATTCCTACCTAAAATAGTGAACATTTCTTTTCTGTTTTTTTTGGGGGTTAGTATAAGGTGATTATGGAGGTAAAAATGGTAAAATACAGCCCGAGAGTTGGTTAAGAATCCGAAAGTTTGAGGCCCAGGGTCCCTCAAATTCTTATTTTTAAATACGGGGAAATTTCCACCACAATAGGTCGAGGGTCCCTCAAATTCTTAGAACATTCCTATTTGTGTATTATATATAAAAATAAAAGTAGTATTATATAAATACTCCCACGCCTGCGGAAGAGAAGAAGAAAGACGCAAAAGCAAGAAGGAAGCAAAGCTGAGGCAGGAACGTGGTAGGGTGTGACAGTTGATTCAGAAGCTGTAGCCAGCGGAAGCATAGGAACAGAATCAAACCAAAGCAACGATGAAGAGTAGATTCTGTCACAATAAGGTTTTCAGGCCTGTGTGTGTGTGTTTGCGACACCCCCGTACTTCAGTATTTTCATGCTTTATGTCACTTGAAAAGGTGGAGCAAGTGGTGGCGTCCACTATTTTTTTTCCTGGTGTTGTTGTGAAAGACAGACGAAAGCAGACCAAGAAAAGCACATACTGGCAGACGCGAGGGGCCAAGGCATCTTTTGTCGCACCAAAACCCTGAAGAACAGGGGGAAAGTCAAGATCCACACGGGTCACGTAGATGGATTCTGGAAGGTCCTCAAACAAACCATCCCTGGAAGTTTGCCATCGAAAAAGGGCCAGGCGCGCAATCCTCAAATATGAAAATGTGAGAAAAAGTTGCGGTTGCCCTTTTTGAGGCTGAAGTCATGGAAGGGTTGTCATTCCCAAAGTAGATGGACCTTTTTTTTTAAAAGAAGTTTTGAATGCAAAAACTGGCTCCTCGCTGTGACGACGTAGTAATTTTGATCATTTTCGTACGCCGGTAACGCTTCCGGCGGGTGTTTTTGTATTCACAGATCCATTACATGCTACCAGGGTTTTGTTTGAGGAGTGTTTGATATTGGGGGAAGGGATGATTTGCTTTCAAAACTTTGTTTTTGATTGATCCTCCAATTTTCCGCACGTATGAATTTTGAGGATCCCTTAGCCAAACCTAAGGAAAACTGGAGTGACTCTGGCAAAATGATTTGGGCAAGCTTGGGATGGCTGATGAGGGGGATCAGAAAAGTCGAATGATTCAGTGTTTCGGGAAGGTTTCCTGAGATAAATCATATCAACAATCGACAAAAATAAGGAGTGGACTTGGGATGTTCAAATTTGTGTGGAAACATTCACAACCACCACACACTTACCGATACCCTATTTTTGTACATAGCATGGAAGTACCAACCTTCACAACCGATAGGGGACCACCCACTTTGGTGATGTCCATTGCGAGTAGTAAATAATTTCGTCCGCCACTAATATATCCACAATTTTGGAGACTGAATTTGAATATTTGTACCATAAAATTATCATTCAGCCGATTCAGACGTTTTAGTTTGTTTTCCACTTCCATCATTTTGGTTTACATTTTACATCTTTTTTAAATGTCAGCCTCGGATTAATAAACCCTGTTGGTTGATTAGGGCGGTTACCCCCAAAATAGTGATATAAATGACTCTAAAATTGGTACGACCCCCTGCCTGTAAACTGGTAATTTGTTGATCCTTGGTTAACATATGTTAACTGTTAACATTACCAGCATTTACCAGCCGTCTTCACAAGATACTTATTATGAAAAACATTGAAAAAAATCTGACTTGCACATGAATTTCCAGAATCTATTTTAAAAACCCAGCGTGCAATCGCATCGATTAAAGAACGATATCGATATCAAGTCAACCATGTTCTTTCAGGATTTTCGCAGAATGGAGGACCCTACCTTTTCAAAGTTTCTACAAACCTTCAGAATTCACTTTTTACCGACTCGACCGGTACTGCGCCTCGACTACAAGTCAACCAACTTGATTCCATGCACTCGACATCAATCTAAATCTCCAATTACCAGGTTACCAGGTTGTTTTTTTTCAACCACTTACATTTACTGTATCTAAGAATGGGGCAGCGGGGTAGCCTCAAATTGGTGATTTATCATCATTCTCCCCATTGATTTTGAAGCGGCCAGGTAGAGGTGGCAATTAAGACTTTGCCACTGGACAAATCGAAGGAAGAACATATCAAGGCGGAGATCCAGCATCAACTGGCCATGGACCATCCCAACATTTGTCGCTTGTTGGAGGCCGTGACCGGGCATACCATGATCATCCATGATCCATGAAATCCAGTCCGGTTCAGTATGTTCCAAAATCTGGATGTGATTTATTTGAGATTTTGGAATCAAACCCCGGTATATATGATTTATTATCTGGTTTCAAAATTATAATGAATTTTAGATATTCCCCATTTTGAGATGATCCCCATTTTGAGATGAACCCCCATGTCCTTTGATGGCCGATCTGCCGCAAGGTCTATGAGGAACCAACACGCTTGCTGCTGGTGATGGAAAAACTCAACGGACCGGATTTGTTTGATGCCTTCGCAAAAAAGCAGCTTGGTGGTTTGAATTGGGGAATTGGACCCCCCCTTGTTCTTTTTTTTTCCCCCGACCCAAATCTCTTTTCTAGTTTGAGATAGTTTGAGTGTAATTAACTTGCAGGAAACTATGGTTTTTGGATGTTCTTCCCATCAATTCTAGGCCTTTCAAAAACCATGAGGAAAGCTCCTTCCCAGCCCATCCTGAGAACTTAGGCGACGATACACCGAGAAAGATGCCGTGGAGGTAGTGCGTCAAATCTTGAGTGCGGTGGGGTACTGCCATCGCAACGGTGTGTGCCACCGGGATGCTCGGTTTGTCATGCTGGATGTTGAGATTCCAAGGATGTCCGAGGATGAACAAGTTTTGAAACAAGTCAAATACTCAAATCGATATGCTGTTGGCTATTTGCCCCAGGGTTGATCGCACCTTTCCAGAGCGCAAGGATTTGAAGCTTGAGAATTTCTGCCTGGAAGATGATTCAGAGAACGCTCGAATCAAGACGCTCCGCAGTCTGTTGGCGCGTGTTGGAGAATTCAATCTTGTGATGATGCCGTGTCAAAGGTTTGGAATTTCAAATCATTGCTGTCTATAATCAAGCACTCGATGCCTTTTTTCACCCCTCCGGTACTGATGTTCCCATTAAGACACCATTTATAGTGGATTTTCAATTACCACGTTTGATTACCAGAGGGTAAAACATGTTCGTTTCCCCCATCCTTTCCAGGTTTCCAACCTTTTGCCATCTATGGCTGGGGGTTGCTAATGGTTACTATATATATATACACACATACAGTATATGTCTTAAGCCCAGAAATAAGCCCATCAGTTTCTGCGACAGCCCCGCTAGAACAGCCCCTGTTTGGGCGCAGACTTGGTCCCTAACATCAAAATTCGCTGGGTAAATGGATGTTAATCCCCCTAAAATAGGGGTAGTTAGTGATAAATCTATTGATCCATAGCTGCCATAGCCCATCATGGTGATGTTCTTTCCCAAAGATCCATCAATGGTGTGCCCGGCTTGGCCCCCGAGGATGATTGATTTCGGGCTGGCGCATAGCATCGATGAGTTTCCCATGACCGACTCCTGTGGTACTCTGTACTACGCGGCTCCCGAAGTTCTACGAGGCGGCATGTGGGTGTCCAAGACGACTAGACCTATGGGGGTTTCCAATGGCGGAATCCTCAAGTCACCAGGGGTGAAAAATATGTTTCAATACTAGAACGGTCCAATGATGTTAGGAAACCGGCACAGATCGCCATAGATTCTCAGCTTATATGGTCAGTGTTCATGTCGCTATTAGATGTTGTGAGTGTGAAAGGCTATTTCAAACACATAGATGCATACAGTATAGCTTATGCAAAGAGCCAGCCACTGAAGCTGTAACAATGAGTCAAGTTTACAACGTTTACCAACCTCCTCACACGTCGATTTCTTCATTCTGGAAGCAACACCTCTGTGAGTTGCATTGGGTGACCATTGCTGGGAGGACCAGTTGTTTTCTGCTAAGGCAACTACACAGAACAGTGTGACATGTGGTCCCTGGGCATCTTGACCTACATTCTGCTGGATGGCCGGGCTCCCTTCATGGGAAGGAATGATCGGCAAACCTACCGCTTGATCTTACAAGGACGCGATCCACGGGCCTCAGCCTGCACCGGAGGTGGTATCTTAAAGGAATTGCCAGGATCATGGACACAAGAATGAGAACTTGCAACAAAAGCTGCAACCAATGTTCACTCTGGGTTGGGTCAATAGACCCAGGTGCATATGGGTCCCAGAAAACATCGGAAGACTCAAGAAGATCTCATCCCCCACTACTGATGTTGGGTGGCTCGATTTCCAGCCACATCATGCCGCACGTTCACCTCATGGTAGGAGAGTATCGTTTCGCAGAAGATCGATGGGGCAATGTCACACAGAATGCGAAGGCTGGGTGCGTTGAAAGGTGATTTGTCGATCCCGTTTAGGACTGATGGACCTATGATGACCTGTTTGCACTTCTGGAAACAGTCTCAAGATTCGATGACGGCAGCCTTGGTCTGACCCAATCAATATCACCAATCTTAAGAGGGGCACCAGCAATTTTGTTCAACGAGTAAACAGTACACTCCCTATGAACCTTAGAGCCTTGGAGTCTTTAGAATTTCCCCCTAAGATACCGCCCAAACACTGGCAGAATGTATTTGGATCTATTCCATTTTTGGGGCCCCATTTACAAGGGACGTTCATATTAGATCATATGAGTAGAATTTAGTAGGTGGCATTTTACCAATTTGATCCATAACAATTCGATATAATTTGTATTTGATAGATATGGATATAGAAAAAAACCCAACTCCCTTCGAAAAAACATCTGGCGATCTCATCATTTTTCAGGTCACCTAGAGGGGATAGGGACTGGGCCGTTGGCTCTGGTTGGCTCCGGTCGTCCAGGACTTCATTGGGAAACTCTTTCAGGTCGATCCCTCCAAGCGCATGACCGCTGAGGTCCTCAAGGGTTGGATGGCAAGAGAGCCCCTTGGGGATTTAACTCATTACATACGTTTTTTGTACATGTATATATGGAATATCATGGACAATAGTGGCCATACCATGGTGTAGAACCGACATGAACCGACTTGATAGGATAGTTGGGTGTTTGAAACTGGGGGAAGACCACATAAATAGGAACACGCTGATAAATCATGGGATTTTGGGGATGAGCCCCTGCGCTCAGACAGGCCCCCAGCTAAACCTGGGGCTTTAATTAACCAACAAAAAGACCAAAGATTGAAGTTGACCAGAATTTTGGATTGGGATTGGAAAAGGCAACCCGGCAACTTGCCAATACAGGCGCGCCAATAGCCCACACTTCTCCCCAGTGACCAGATGCCAGGAAGCGATGGCTCATCCCTGGTTGGCCAGCGGAACAGCTCCAGGGGCACCAGCGGTGGAATTGGATGCGAGTATCTTGGACGGTCTCAAAGCTTTCACACGAAGTAACGATGCTCGACACTGGGAAGGGGATGGGGATTGGCTTGGATCATATTTCATTCAGCAAACTTTCAAGATCATCCAAGATGCCTTTCAGGGACAGATGAATTTCTGTAAGACTGCCAACTGATAAGTCTTAGTGAAGTCCCCTCAGACTCCCATGCCTCAGCTTGAAATGCTTCCGCCACTCCGCCTTTAGCATCTAGCTGTCGCTGTGATACAGCCAAATATACCCTCTGGTTATTTAACATAGCCATGGAAGCCATGGCCCATAGAAATAGATGGTTTACCGTTCTTAAAAATGTGATTTTCCATGGCTATGTTAAATAACCAGATGGTATTCCAAATATCAGAATTCCACACTAATTCCATTGATTCCATATTGCATGACCTTCATTTTTACGGTGAAGACTTATGGAATCAGGTTTCCCCCTTTTTCCCCTTCGCACCTCCCAGAGGACCAGAACATCCGAAGTGTACTGGACTATCCCAGTCTTATTTTCTGCATCTTCATTTGTGAATATTGGGATTGTATATATATATATACAATTATATACACATACGTAAAACAAATCCATAAATGTTATCGGCTGTAACATACACATACACATACTTGTAAATATGATCATGCATGTAGATAGATACCTGCTGTACATATAGCGGCCCAATGACCAGAAATGAACCCGAAGCCGCTATCGACTGCACACGCCTTTAGGAAGTGAAACGCGCTGTGCTCTCGGCCATAGCTCCGATGGCATCAGTGGAGCAAGTCCGTGTCTTGACAGCGGTGGATTTGACGACATAGGCCCTATGGTTATTTAACGATATTTAACGATTAGACCGGGATATACAACTAATATGACTGATATATATATATATATATATACTAATATGACATCTGCTTTTCGGCCAGTTCAGCAATATGTTTAGTAACAATGATGCTATTTGATGTTGAATTCTCATGAATTCTCCATGAGAAGGATTGGAAGTCGTTTTTTTTTGCCAACGGTGGTTATTTCACTTCTTTTCCCAGGCGCAGGAGAATTTCACCAGAGTTTTGGCCACAGCCAGGGTGGTTCAGGAGTTTTGTACCTTCTTAAGTTGAAGGTTGGTTGCCTTGGTTGCCCCTTCACATATGAGGGTTTCCATGGGTTTCCATGGGTTTCCATGGGTTTCCATGGGTTTCCATAGGTTTCCATGGGTTTCCATAGTTTCCACATCCCATTTCAGTCCGTTGGATGGCCACATCCCAGTCGGGACGGACGAGGCAAATGGGCCGATCAATTCGAAGCACTGGATGAAAACGGCACAGGCTCTGCTGGATCACAAGCCTTGATGGGCCAATTTCGGGACAGGATCAACAAACCACTGGCATAGAACATCAAATTATAGGCATAATTAACCTCCGGTTATTTAACATAGCCATGGTATAGATGACCCATTTATATAGATGGTTTACCTATTAAACATGGTGATTTTACATGGCTATGTTAAATAACCAGATGGTAGTTTGAAAACCTATGATAATTAGACCATGTGGCTTTGGATAATCGTAGTAATTACTCCAAATCCCATGCTTTCTGAGAATCTTCTCTACAGACCTGCCTTTTTTCGGGTATCCCAAAGCCATTCAATCTGGGCATCATAACATATGAATGGCCTGGTGAACGTACACAACTACCATAACAGGTCATCGAAGCTGGAAAATCCTCTGATTGTCCCATTTGATTCCCATTTGAATGTCCATTTTCCCCATTAGATGATGTACCCATGAAACAGACGATGTAACGATGTATAGATGATTCTCCCGGCAAAGTGTCAATTCATGTGGCAGCATTACACGGTGAAGCCGCGAAGCCCGAACATGCTAAGTGGTTTTTTGTGGAATCTTGGAATCTTCCATAATTGGGGTATACTGGTTTATAAAGCCCACGAACTATAACTAATAAGCATAAAGCATAGTTATTGGAGTTATGTTCATCAACTTAGCTGTCACAGATCAGCTATAAATCACATTCAGAAACATTAAAGAACCCAATGTTTGTTGGTGAACTAGCCATATTTTGAAGGTGATTTCCCCCCAGCATTTTTCTTCGAAGGCTTTCTATTTTTCTTCGCCTCGCCAGGACAGATCAAGGTGAAGGATCTGGTACAGAAGGCCCGTAACGGGACGGCGGAGGACGAGGGTCTCCGTCTTTGAAGAATGAATGATAGTTGATCCATGGTTAATGACATTAATGATTGAGAATCTATGGTCAATGATGGTGCCAAACTGAATGGCTAATCATGGGTAATGATGGTAGATAATGGTTGATGGAGGTTAATCGATGGTCAGTGATGGTTGATCTACTTTTAAGATCTTTTAAGAATGGTTAAGAGGTGTTAATGATATAGTTTATAGTGGATGATCATGGAAGATAATGGTTAATGATGGTTCAGAATGGTTGACAATGGTTAATGATGGTTGAATAAAGTTCTATTTCGTGGGAATAGGAGGGGGATACAACAATGATTGATAATCATGGTTTCCCGGTAATCGAACAGGGTGGGCCATCTTTGATCACCAGAGGGTGTTCAGGGGGAATGACAGGCAGCTGGGCAATCTGAGCACATGAGAATGATCGATGATAGCTAGAGTGATTGCTATTTTTTTTGAGTTTTGCACATGGCTGCGATGTTTTGCAGTGCGATTTGCTGGGAACAAACTGCCGGGGCCAAGTCGAAGGGCTGCGTTTTCGCAAATTTGTTGAGACAAACATGCTCAAAGTCAGTCAAAAGATGCAACCTGTTCCACCGCCATGGTGTATTGCCACCAAAGGTCAGACAGTGATTCATAGGAGCAGCACATGACGTGAATCTGATGAAAGACCGAATGCACCTTCCCAAGCTCGACTACTGTCATCAGCTTTGCACGTCCGTAATAGTTACATCTAGTTGGCACGGGATAGGTGTTGCCCCCTAAGGTGTGTCTCGAAACCCTATTATCCAACCCTAAATACTATGAGTTATATATATATATATAGATTTATCATGTTGTTCAGTTGTTCCAATATTAATGTGGTCATTTGATGCCCAAAATAGGCATAAAAATCCCCTGCAGGTGGCTCAGAGCGAAGGCCAAGCTGAAAGAATCAGCGAGGCATCCCGACTAACCTAAGAGGATAATCGAAAGCAAGTGACGTGTTGTTTTTTACTGGCCATATCCTGGCTCGGGTTTTTGCGTTGCATGTTTTGCATACATCACAGGCTTTGCAAATACCGGACACGTGTTTGGATTGCTGCTAATCCTGCATTTTCAAATGGATTCTGTGACAGAAAGGTTTCCCATGAGTCCAAGTGACTTGCCCCTTTAGTAATCCATGGCAACTGAAAATCCACTATCAATGGAGGTTTAATTTGAACATCATCTATGAATGGGGGATTGTCCATTGCCAAGTTTGCCGGAGGGTAAGTGTTGAAATTTGAATGGTTTGAAGGTCCTTCTGTTCACCACTTGGGTCACTTGTCATTCCAGGGAGTTGTTCAGTGGATTGGGCATCTCCTGGCATTGAGTCAGGTTTTGAAGTTGACAGCTGATGCCTCACAAGAGATCTCGTATTCCGCCTTCCTGGCGGCGTGTTTGTTTCAACATCACTCCAACTTGGAAGAGGCAGGTCACACCGGGAGGCTATGATACTGTGGATGGAAGAAATCCTGCACCACCTTGGATGGTTGAAACCCTATAAATAATGGGATAAACCACCTATCAACTGGTGCAGGATTTCTTCCATCCACCGTATGATGGAGCAGTCATGCTGTTTTCTTTCACAGTTGTCTGGTTAAAGTTGGATGCTCAAAGCCCTGAACATGTTTTGTCGTAGAGTCAGAGGCCTTCAAGTCATACCGTTCATCAATAGCTCGCAGAAAGCCATGGGAAGGTCCATCGTGAGTACATGGGTATGCTGGCAGATGCCTGTGAGAGATGCTATAAAACCTGCAACAGGACATTTAGACACCTTTAGATATATGTTGAGCCTGAGACGCATGTTTAGATCTATGTTTAGTTTTGATATGTGTTTAGATCATGTTTAGTTTCGATTCAGATATATGTTTAGTTTGGATATATGTTCAGATCTATGTTTAGATATATGTTTAGTTTAGATATGTCTAGATGTATGTTTAGATATACAGAGGCAGAGGCTATATATTGCTGGTGATGTTCAATGGTCCGAAGCACTGCAAGGATCACCTTCGAGAGCTCTTCCAAAAGCTGGACAAGGAGCCGCAGCCGTCGAAGGCTAGTCGTTTTGGATCCAAGAAACCGCATTTTAAGGATCAGAAAGTCAGAAAGTCAGTTGATTCTGTTGGACTTTTGGACTCTTTTTGGACTTCCAACATCTGAAGAGCTCGTGAAATCAAATCGTAAACCCTCAACTAATGCTTGAAAAGAACAAATGGCGGTGAACGGGGAATCCTTAAGCAGGCCCATAGCTGGGCAAACCTTGGTTGACTGTTTTTTTTCTCTTGGGTCAGAAATGGAGATCTACAATTAATAGCAGCTAAAACATATTCATGTAGAATGTAGATGTAACTATATCTATCTATCTATGTAATCTAATCTAATCTAATCTAATTGAAATCTAATCTAATCTCATCTCAATCTAATCTAATCTTAATCTCAATCTAATCCAATCTAATCTATCTATTTATCTATCTATTGTAGTGATTTTGCATGGTATTTAGGATTGGCCATAATTAATACCGAGGAATGCGCATTGTAATGGGAGGGCTTCAAGATCTGCCTGCTCCGAATTTAAAGATGACATCCAGACACCAGGACGTTTGATCTGCCATGTAGATGACTGTTTGGTTGGTTGATTTGGTGGTTCCAGGTACTTGTTCTTTTTCATCTAGGTTTGAACATAGGATACTGTACTACCCAAAATCCCAGGTTGATGATCCAAAAATCCCTTCCGCATCCGTCATTTTCAAACAAAACCATCTACTGGAACTTGGGAGGATTCGTACAGTATGTTCTAATTGACTTTAGATATCGGGGACGAGCTGAGGTTCGCAAGTTTTGACTCTTCAGCAGGGCTTTACAAATACCACCCTCTGGGAATTTAACATGGCCGATTGATAGTTGATCTACCTATTATAAATGGATGTTAGTGATTTGTTAGTGTACTCGTACCAGAGGGTATAGATCCATCTGATTTTGGTTTCCAAGGGACTATCCACAGACAAAAAGCATGACAAACAGCTGACTCCAAGGGATCAGCTGAAAATGAGTGGCACCAACTTGGCACCGGCGTGCCCCATTCTGGCACACGCACACACACACACACATTTGTTGGTTACAGTATATCCCCCTAGTGGAGTGGTACTTGTTCATATCCCCCTTATATTGTTAGTCAATCTTTATCGTTTTTTGTTTGTAATCATCCCTGATGGAATCAATTCAATCTCCATTTCTCCAGAAAAACTCATTCCCCAAATCTCCAGTTCTATCAACTTCCAAGATCCCTAAGATTTGCCAATGGAGACAACCTTTTTCGAACAAAAAAAAACATGCTGGGATCATCCATAAGTCCCCAGGACAAGAAAGGCAAGGTGACAGTGGAGGAGATGTCAAAGGCCTTGGATGGGATCGCCTCTTGGCGGAAGTTTTTTATTGTGAGGTCACCTCAATTTCACTGATGCAGATGGAGCTGCTAGTTGCTAGTGACTGCTAGTGGTGGAGTCCAATTAGAGATAGATCACAATCCCAAAGATTGGGACCTTTCCAGCATTGGAGTGGCAGCTCTTGGTCTGTGAAGATGGCAGGATACAGGAAAAGGAAGGTGGCCCAAGAAAGAATTTGAAGTAGTTATATGGAGGTTTCCTAAGTCATGCGGGTCCCCCCATTCACGGATGGTTTATAGTGGAAAAGCTCAATCTAAAATGGATGATGACTGGGGGTACTCCCATGACTCAGGAAACCTCCATATAAGCATACCAGGATCAGAGGCACTGCAGGCGACCAGTAGGAACTAGAAATCACCCTGGTTAATCTGGTTAGTAGGTCTAATTGAGGTTATCACATATATGAGTGGGTTATAACCCCAGTTACTAAGCAGTTTACTAAGTGAGATGATCCTCCAACCGGAATACCATCTGGCAAATTAAGCAAATGAACATGGCCATAGAAATAGTTGATTTATAGATATTTATAGTTGATTTACCTATGAACAAAAATGGTGATTTTCCATGGATTAAATGGTGATTTTCCATAGGTGAAACGGTTAGTTCACCAGGTCGTTTTTCCCAGGCCTCTGTTTGCTTCGCTCAGGTGGACCTGGAGGGATTGGAGAGCGACTTCGGTTCACGCGCCCTTTCCTTCACAGACTTCCGTCACGCGGCGGCTGCGGTCGATTTCGGTGGCCAAATGAACCCATATGCTCCATGTATGGAATATTTACCAACATTTGCCCTAGAAATCACCCAAATGTAGGTAAATATACCATACATGGAGCATATGGGGAAGGGTGGCCAAAGGGTGGCCAGATCGGCAAAAAAACAACGATGTTCCCCATGAATTGGATATCCCGATATCATCCGATATCCATGAGATGGATTTATTTGAGAAAAAAGAGGTACCCCAGAAAATCATCAGTTTTTTTAAAACCATGTTCCCATAAAATAGACATAAATTGGGGTAGCATCATTTTCAGACCACCCCATGTACCCCAAGCTTGGCCTTGAATCCTGATCATGAGTCATGACACCGCCGATCGCATGATATACAACACAATACGATGTATAAACATAACATATAAGACTATATAAGTATATATATATATACACGTGTATATGTATATAAGTGTATACATATGTACGTATATTATACACGTGTGTGTATATATATATATATATCTAATATCAACAAAATAACTATATTTGTATATATGTACGTATATATATATATATACGTACGTACATATATATATATATTACATTACATAGTATCTCCCAAGCTTTGAGGCTGGCTGTTGCAACGACCTCTGACACCATCCTCCCTAGTGGGGCTCCGTCAATTGCTGGGTCTCTATGAGGACAGTGGCAACCCGGACGTGACCACAAAATGGAGAGGGATGGTTTCTGTATCTATGAGAAATTAAAATATATTAAAATATATTAAAATTACATCTGCCAAGCTGACACATGGACAATAACTGATATACCCTCTGGTAAACTAAGATAGCTATGGAAAGATCCACCATTTTCAATGGGAAAATCCACGAACTAAATCACCATTTTCAATAGCTTTTTGTATGTTTACCAGAGGGTATCTATGAGAAATCCATGACAAGCCATGACAATTCCTGAATTTTCACATCTTTTGGGGATGATCATGGATGATCATGGATTATCATGGATTATCATGGATCTACTGGGAATCCCTATCAAAACCACCCATTCTCTTGGAGAGTGGTTGGAGAGTGGTCGAAAATGGAGGCCCAGTTTTACGTGTTTTACATGTTTCATATAAAAACAAAATTAAAAACATCTAAACACACGCAAAAAAAAGGGCCCCCATTCATTTCCAACCACTCTCTTGGGGATTTCCCTATGGTTTTCCTTCCTGAGGCATTGCAAAGAGCTGGCGTGTCGACACGGTCCGCGCCAAGACGGGAGAGGAATCCTTCGAAGCGGCACGACGAGAGATGCTGGGAATATCAATGAAGATGGGCCAGAGGCATATCCACATAGAGAATATATATAGGGATATATAGGGATATATAGGGATATATAGGGAATATATAGGATATAGGGAATATAATCTGGATGAATTAAAATGACCTCACGTCGTGACGTCGCTGGAATGGTAGCAATTGGATTCGGGGAATCATCCCCAAATGGCCGCAAGTTTCAGCTATTTACAGGTCAATGAATTCATATAACTCAGCCAGAATATAATGGGTATTGCCTATTTTAAGATGATGTAATAGGGATATGATGGGAGATTGGCTAATTTAATTTAATTTTAGTTTAGTTCATTTTATTCCTACACATATATATATAGGTGTGTTTATCACCCACAATATTATATATGATGGTTTCGTAAAATCGAAGGACCCCAAAACCAATGTTTTTAAGTAATTATTAACAGTTTTGGATGATTTTGAGGTTCCTCATTGTAAGGAACCCAACTATATAGTGTATATATATATACATATTATCGGGATATATCTCAGATAATTACTATTCTTTCTCCCGGACATTTCTGACGACCTGAGGTATTATTTATTTAAAAGGAATGTCACAATAGATATTATCTGGTTAGATGTGACGCTATGCTAGATAGTATAAACCAGTACAACCTGTACTAACAACATGATAACATTGCTGCATTGAAGATATGACACTATACTTGACTATACTGTGCAAAGGATATGAACACAGTAATGTCAACCCTGGATTCTAAAACATCCGTTTTATTGCGGTGGATTACATTGGATTACTAATTACCCCCAAGATAGTGATACATTGCTATGCCTCCCTATTGGTAAACTGAGGAATGCCGCCTGGCGCCAGTGGCATCGTGCGCGGCTGCGCGGAGAAGCTGAACCGGATCTGGAAGAGATGTGTCTTGACTGTCCGGTCAGTGTTGATTGCAATGATAAAGATTGTGGTTTAACATGGTTTGACCATCAACAAATGGTGATTTCATGGGATTCGGAAGGGAGGAGTTGATGGGAGTTGATGGAGAATGGGACATGGGATGAGATTGAGATATATTGAGATTACAGTAGCCACACTTCATGGATTTAGGGAACACAAATTGCAGGAAAGCATGGCTTGTGGTCCCACAATCCCAGGGTTTCCTGTGAAAATTTCTCTGAAAAGCCATTGCTGGGGTTTCCCCAGCTGGTAGCAGTGGCGGCATCGCCAGCAGACAGGTTGGGAGGTGCCAAGTTCATAGGATGCTCACTCGCAAAATCTGTTTTTTGATGCAGGGTTGCTCTAACTCATGATAGGCCTGATAGGCAAATCTTGGCCGCAAGAGGGGTAAATTGGTCATTTGACCTCTGTATTTACCCACTTTACCCCCTTGTCCTGAGCTGTTTGGAGCAACCCTGTGATAATATCTTTGCGGAGACAACCCCAAGTTCCGATGTAGAAGTTGCTGAATGTGGAGGCTGAATCCGATCATTTCACTGCGGGCGATATGCACTTGGGGATCAATTTATCATCCCCTAAATTAACATAGACCCCACTTCATCAACAATTTTAGAGGAAAGCAGTCTTCCAACCCCCAAGTCATGACAGGGTTTAAGTTAGTTGTGGGATAAGAGCGGATCATTGAATCAAACTTGCCGACTTGGAAGCGTTTCATGTTCCCATTGTCTTTGATTCTAAAGTGCGAAACTGTCTGCTGATTGTTACTGTAACATCTTCCATTCAAAGATAAACAAACAATGGTGATAGATGATTATAGTGAATGGAAAATCTTTTTTCCGCTGTTTTTTCCATTTCTGCTGATGATAGATGATGATAGTGAAAAAACAAACAAAACTTCCAAACGCATTGCTTTTTGCAGGAGAAACGGATGTTTAACTGTCCCCTTGGGAATCTGCCCAGGAAGGGCTATTCGGCCCCAGGCCGGGGTTTCCAGGAGTGGCTTTGGATCCGACTAACGGTTTCTAATTATCCAAGAGTTCCACAAGTAGCAAATTTGTTCCATTAGTAGCACCCCAAAAGATGCATCAAATTATAACATCCTACTGGGTCCTAAAATATTTACCCAGTAGTAACCTACTTTTCTGTGTGTCTTAGTGGTTGCACCGCGCCAGGCGTGATCTCGCCGGCCGTGCCCAGTGTGCCAAGCAGCGCCAATGGAACCCATGGTGTGTCGTCCGAGTCCTGGGGGTCTCTGGGGGTCTCTGGGGGTCTGGGGGTCCCTGGGGTCCCTACGGGCAAATCCCTGGAAGCTCCGAAAATGATGGGAAAATGATAGGAAAACCATGGAAACCCCCAAGATGCCATACGTTTTACCACTTTTCCCATGTCTTAACATCATTGTCCCATCAAACACTTTTAGGCGGATAATGATTCTAGAAAAAAATATGGATTTTACATCATCAAATTTACCCTCTGGTAAATAAACATAGACCCTGAAAATCACAAATTTTTAATGGAAACTAGTCTTCCAACCCCTATCTGGCAGGGTCTATGTTTATTTACCAGAGGGTAGTTGATTCTTTTCATTACTCTCTTGTTTTGGGGTTGCTATAAGTAACTGGATGATGTTGTTGGACCTGGGAGGATGTGGTCAGTAATGAATGGGTCTTTGAGATCTCTCAGAATTATTGGGGTTTTAAAAATCATCCCAAATCCTTTCTGTAAGAATTTGCTAGCACTAATGATTATATCCTCAATGTCTCCCTTTTTGAATGTTTGACATTGTGGCTCCGCCCTGTGGAGCAGAAGATGGTGTGGTCAAACGACCATCGCCATGATCTTAACGTCCATCCCTTGCTGGATTGCCCATGGCGCCCCCTATCATATCCTGATTATCCTGATTTGAGGACTGAAGCAGCAACCAATCAGACAGTTAATTGGTTGGTCAATCTACTATAAGTTGTATGTATATATATATATTATATATATATATATATTATATGTATGTGTATCCACATCAGATTTCACCATTACAGCTGGCCAGTTTTTGTCATGTTTCCCCCCATGTTATCAATCTCCAAATCCTGTTGGTTGATGTCAGCCCAGACTGAAAAGCCCTGGTTGATCAATTGAGGGGGCTCATCAAGCAATGATAACTTGCCGATAAAAGGGTCCCCTGCAATCAACAAACGACCGCCAATAGGTACCTCAGGTACCTCCCTGCTTGTGTCACCGTTTTGGGTTACTACAAATACGTCATCCTAGTTTGTGGTACCCACTGTTACCATCAAAAAGAGTTTACTGTTATATAAGAGATTACCACACTATTTGTACCCCTCTGGGAACCCCCCCTAATTTATCATTGTTAACTAATTAACAGGGGGAGTCAGCGACAAGGCCCATCAGCTTGTCGCCAGTGGAGTTGCTTCCCCCCGGTTCCAAGCCTCCAAGTCGATCGGCAAGCCGAAACAACAGTCGCGTGGCGGCCGATCCACCATGGGACCATGATGATGAACCACCTTTTTATCCATCCCATCCTACTAGTCGGCTAGTGATACATACTATGGATAAAATGGTAACAATAAACAACACTATCATTGTGTACATTCCCTTTAAAGGAGGGGATTTATGAATCATGGCCCCCTCTTGTCGTTGATATTGTTTCTTGTTGGCTGGTTAAATGCAAATGAAACAAGTGTAAATAAAGTACATACATATTATATATATACACAAAATATATGTATGTAATGGAATGGAATTGAATGTAATGCAATGTAATGCAATGTTTTGTTATGTTGTGTACGTATATATATATATTATATATATACACACCAATTATAGATGGTTGATCCACAGATTACAGATGAGGATCTATTATTCCCAAACATCGTTTCCATGGTATTTCACCCAAAGCCACAGCTATATCACTACTGTGGATCCCATTAAACAAAACATGACAAACATATCGTTATACCAAGTTTAGATGAAAACATATTTTATACGTATTGATTCACCATGTTGTTTCTTTAACCACCAAAGAAGTAGAACGGTAATGCCTGAAGCGGGCCCCCAAAATGACTAGATTAAAGACAAAGCCCGGGTTCCAAAAAGGGGGATATTCATATTAGGGGCACGGGGTTCACATGGATTTAACACTTATCAACACTAATATTCATGGTTTTTCACCCCTATGGACTACAGGATATATCATGATATATCAACCATAACCCTCCAGTTCTTCCAGGGGATCCCAGTGCCCAGGTAAAGCGCCTACGCCTTGTGCCAGTCCCCGGGACACCGAGTCGGAGGTCCCCGACAAGTCGCCGCACACCGAGTTCATCTGGGCGCCGAAAGACGTGGGAAACGGAGGATTTACCCAGCAAAACATGAGGGATTCAGCTCAAAATAGGAATTTGACCACCAAGACCATCCAGTCAGTGTCCAAAATATTCTAGTGTATCTATTGTTATAATAATATATATATATATAATATCCATAATAATTATATATTCTAGAAGATGCGGCGGATGCAATCCATTATTTTGCCATGTTACATCTACATTGCAGGGGACAATCCCAGCGGCCCAGGCGTGGATCGGAATATGTGTTGGAACTCCCTGTTTTTTTGTCTTTGAAAGAGCCCGTGGTAGAAAAATCAGGTGGCCTTTCCTTTAAGTACAGCAAACCCCTGCCGAAAAATGCAGAACAGTAAACTAATGTCAATGCCATATATATATATTATATAAACACCAATTATAGATGGTTGATCCACAGATTACAGATGGGGATCTATTATTCCCAAACATCGTTTCCATGATATTGTAGCCCTGCCCAAAAATTACAGATATACCCTCTGGTTATTTAACATAGCCATGGAAAGATCCACCATTTTTAATGGGTAAACCATCTATTTCTATGGGCCATGGCTTCCATGGCTATGTTAAATAGCCATCTGAAAAACCCACTATTGGGGTAGCAATTTTTTTAAGGGGTAAATCCACTAATTCCACGAACTAAATCACCATTTTCAATAGCTTTTTGTATGTTTACCAGAGGGTAACTTCTTTTCTTGGTGAATCCAGCGAGCCCCAGGTTAAGTCCCGAAGCCCTCACTGCCACCTGGCAAGTGGCTACAGCTGAAGCCAAGGACAACCACAGCTGTCACGAAAGGGATCAAGGTGTCGCCCCCAGTAAGTTTATAAACATAGTATCTATAGATATATCAACCATCAACCATACTTTGCCTAGTTATAAACCAACTTAGCTAAGTATTGGGGCAGCACCTTAGATATACATACATACATACGTAAGTAAGCGTAAATATCTAGAGGAAACCATGGCTTTTCCCATCTCCCGTAGCAGGAGAGCCACACGGAAATTATGCATTTACAATGTATATATATATATATATACGCTCGGGGCCCTAGGTTTCCGCAGAGTATCTTGGTTCTCATTGATCCATATGTCAAAAATCACTGTTTCGCCAGAGCGAAATGTGGATTTTGCACATTCTTCCTTTTCATTCTTTATTGACAATTTTACGGAGCTAAATTTTTAGGCCCGCGCAAGTTGCATGTTATGACATATTATCCACAGTACATGTCAATTGTGATTTTCATGTTTTCCTACACGAAATACCACTTTTCATGAATTTCTTTGTTTTCTTTTATCCGGAATTGTCATTTTTTACTGCGGCACGTGGGGTAATATGAAGAGGTGTCTTTTTTTATTGGTATTTGCAGTGAATTTTGACGTTAGCATGAAACGGCACATGTTGATAGTCAGCCTTTTTTTTGCTCGTTGTTGCTTCAACTTCATCAGCCTGCTGCAACATGTTCTTTTTCAAAGTTTCTGATTTTCTTGTTTTCCCACACGAAATAGCACATTTCATGAAAGTCGTTTATTTTTTTTAACTGGAAAAGTACTGTTTTTACTGCGGTTCGTGGTGTAATATGAAGGGCTGTTTTTTTTTATTGGTATTTGCAATGTTTTTTTATGTTAGCATGAAACGGGACATGTTGATAGTCACCTTTTTTTGCTCGTTGTTGTTTCAACGTCAACACCCTGCTGCAACATGCTGCAACTTGTTCTTTTTCAAAGTTTCCACGGCGCTCGATCCCAAACTTTGCTGGCGGGCTGCAAGCTTGACATAGAACATGACGTTAACATGCCCCACCCCACCCCACCCATCAACATACCATGAACATGACGTTAACATGCCCCACCCCACCCCACCCATCAACGTACCATGAACATGACGTTAACATGCCCCACCCCACCCATCAACGTACCATGAACATGACCTTAACATGCCCCACCCCACCCCATCAACGTACCATGAAACCATGACCTTAACATGCCCCACCCCACCCATCAACGTACCATGAACATTAACATGACCCACCCCACCCCCCACCCCTTGCGGAAACCTGGGGCCCCGAGGGTATATATATATATATGTTTGGGCTCTACTATTTATTGATGTAGGTCTGTGCAGAGCTAGCCATTTCACATTCTCTGCATAGCAAGGAGCAAAGGCTCTACAATGACCTGCCAGTGGTCTCCTGTGTCTAAGAATAAGAGATGGTGTTCCAACTTCCTATCTCTTTAGCTGCCGTCAGGTATGACCTTCTGACCCCTGGAAATGTCTAGGAGTCTAGGGCACAGGCTACCCGGGCAAATTTCTACTTGCGAGCCGGGTCAAACCATGGGCTTTGGCAGTCAAACTAGTCAAGCCTGCTGCAGAGTGTTTGCACCAAAATGAACAAAGCAGCATGAACAAAGCAGCATGAACAAATCATGCATCAAAAGAGAATCAACGAGATCAGCAGATATGGCCCGATGGCAACCACTTGCTTGTTCTTCCAACCCCCACCACTCGAGCGCTTTTGCAACTGCCTTGCTTGAACGAATCTAGCCATGTGAGATTGGAAGATAAGGAACACCACACCCTTTTCCAGCCGCTGGTGTGGAGTAAGAGGCCAAAATGGCCAAAATATAACACAATATCCAGTCTTCAATTCCAGGGAAGCGTTGGGCCACCGGCTTACACAGGATGGCGACATAGAAGCAGCTCGGAGAGAGAATCGCGCGTGGCGGTTGATGCACATGGAATCTCAGCTTTAACTTGGCAGTTTGTTGAAGGGGGGCCTGTGATGAAGTTTGAAATGCTTGGTTTCAGCATGGATTTTTAGTCACTAAGGTGATTTCCTCATGATATCCTGTCGCCATCCTCATCCTCTTACCTCTGCATTTTTGGCCAGTTGGATTCATTTGGATCATCAGGATGGTGCCAAAATGATCACCGTCAAAAGCAACGTTACTTTATTGATTCTTCCATGTCGCTGACTCTTCTATCATCGAGATGTAGACGCCAAAACTAGGGGGCGGGTCTTAGATCCTTGAAAACATCCACCACCTTTCTGTCAAGGTACCCCTTACGGACTTGACTCTTGAACCCCAGGAAAAATCCTCCGGAAAATCCTCCGGAAGCGACTCGCCAGCGCCGGACAACGTGCCCTGATTGGCCATGTCCACTGAGCTGTGCCTTGAGTCCAAGGCGCCATGAGCTGCTGGCGTTTTTTCACGGGGCACTTGGCTCCACGGAAAAACAACGAAGGGCGGCCACAGTCGTCTGGTGGTTCTCTGATCTTGGAGGATAAGTGCCTTAGGATGCCCTAGCAATATCCGAGTTCATAGCTGCTCGTACGTTTATGATTATTTACATGATATTATTATACATATTATATATAAGTAGGGCTACCGCCCTGGTGCCGCCGATCCCCCTTATGGGGGGCATGGCCGTGGAAAGAAAGGAGCATGGCGACAGAATACAAAAATAAGTTCAATGTATATGTATGTGTATAAAGACAGATAGATAAATAGATATAAATAGATAGATAGAGATAAATATAGATATAGATAAATATCGATAGATATAGACAGATATAGATAGTTAGTGATAGATAATGATAGATGATGATAGATAATGATAGATAATGACAGATAGTGAAAGATAATGATAGATAATGATAGATAAATGATAGTGAATGATAGATAGTGATAGATAATGATAGATAATTATAGATAATGATAGATAAAGATAGATAATGATAGATAATGATAGATAATGATAGATAATGATAGATAAAGATAGATAAAGATAGAAAATATAGATAAAGATAGATAGATAGAAATATAGATAGATAGATAGATAGATAGATAGATAGATAGATAGATAGATAGAAATATGGGTAGATAGATAGATCGATAGATAGATAGATCGATCGATCGATAGATAGATAGAGAGATACTCTAGACAGATAGATACTGGAGATAGATAGATACTGTAGATAGATAGAAATATGGGTAGATAGATAGATCGATAGATAGATAGATACTGTAGATAGATAGATAGATAGATAGATAGATAGATAGATAGATAGATAGATAGATAGATAGATAGATAGATAGATAGATACTCTAGACAGATAGATACTGGAGATAGATAGATACTGTAGATAGATAGATAGATAGATCGATAGATAGATAGATAGATAGGTAGGTAGATAGAAAGATAGATAGTTACTGTAGATAGATAGATATATAGATAGATAGATAGATAGATAGACAGATAGATAGATAGATAGATAGATGCTGTAGATAGATAGATAGATAGATAGATAGATAGATAGATAGATAGATAGATAGATAGATAGATAGATAGATAGATAGATAGATAGATAGATAGTTACTGTAGATAGATAGATACTGTAGATGATAGATACTGTAGATAGATACTGTACATAGATAGATACTGTAGATAGATAGATACTGTAGATAGATAGACACTGTAGATAGATAGATACTGTAGATAGATAGATACTGTACATAGATAGATACTGTAGGTAGATAGATACTGTAGATAGAAAGATACTGTAGATAGATAGATACTGTAGATAGATAGATGCTGTAGATAGATAGATACTTTAGATAGATAGATACTGTAGATAGATAGATACTGTAAATAGATAGACGCTGTAGATAGATAGATGCTGCAGATAGATAGATAGATAGATAGATAGATAGATTGATAGATAGATAGATAGATAGATGCTGTAGATAGATAGATGCTGTAGATAGATAGATGGTGTAGATAGATAGATGCTGTAGATAGATAGATAGATGCTGTAGATAGATAGATGCTGTAGATAGATAGATAGTGTAGATAGATAGATACTGTAGATAGATAGATGCTGTAAATAGATAGATGCTGCAGATAGATAGATAGATAGATAGATAGATAGATAGATAGATAGATAGATAGATAGATAGATAGATAGTTACTGTAGATAGATAGATAGATAGTTACTGTAGATAGATAGATAGATAGATAGATAGATAGTTATTGTAGATAGATAGATACTGTAGATAGATAGATACTGTAGATAGATAG